GTGTGTTTGCATGTGAGTGAGCTGTGTCTATATGTGAGGTGTGTTTGCGTGTGTGTGTGAGAGGTGTTTGTGTGACTGTGTGAGGTGTGTTTGCGTGTGAGCTGGGCTGTGTCTGTATGTGAGGTGTGTTTGCGTGTGTGTGTGAGAGGTGTTTGTGTGACTGTGTGAGGTGTGTTTGCGTGTGAGCTGGGCTGTGTCTGTATGTGAGGTGTGTTTGCGTGTGTGTGTGACAGAGGTGCGTTTGTGTGACTGTGTGTGTGTATTTCCTGGCTCTGGCGAGAGGGCCCTGCGGCAGCAGCACCTCACAACAATGAGCACACCAGAACCGAGATCTTGGTTTGCAAATCTCTCTCTGCACTGGAAGGAACAAGAATTCCTTGGAGAAATGATTCCGGGTCTGGACTTTCTTGCTGATGGACACGTGTCAGAAGGACTCCGAGCCAGCTCGAAGGGGGTCCCATTGGCCAATCTGGGATGGTTTGAGCACAAAAGTAAATAATGGGAAGTGTAGATGACAACCCACTGAGTAATACAGAACACGTTAAGTCCAAACTGATGGGAACAGAGAGAACGGAAGGAGAGGGAAACGCCCATTCTTCCTGTAGGATAGCATCTCGTAAATGGAGGAGGTGGTGGGCTTAGGAGTCCCCTGACAGTGGCTGGGAAGGCCTAGTGGTTAGGTGGGCAGCATCGCTGTGTGCCAAGGCCGAGCCATTTGAGGGTTAGGATACAGATTGACCACCTGGGGTCTGATGTCTCTTAAAGGTATTTTGCTTTTAACTTGGCAGTATCGGGTGAACACACTTTTCCACAATGCCGCAGTCGGCTCCTATCTGCCCTCCCTTTGGGTGCGGTGTGCCAGACATTTGTCACAGTCTGCAGTACATCTTGGGAGCCTGACACCCTGATTGTTTTCTTAAAGTATACACACTAAAGTTTACTCTTTGTGCAGTGGTTCTGTGGGCTTGATGATGTCCACCATCACGTCAGTGCCGCCCCAGGGCTACACAGGGCAGTCAGCACCCTGCAGAGCCTCTGTGCTGCCCCCTCTGGGCGGCGGCCCCATTCCTCCACGTGCCATCATGCCGCCCCCGGAATGTCCCACCAGGGGAATCATGCCGTAGGTGGCCTTTTGGCTCTGACTTCCCTCGCTTAGCAGAACGCATCTGATATTCCTGCAGGTTGTAGCATGCGTCCGAGTTTGTCCCTCTCTGCTGGTGAGTGGAATTCTGTGGTGCAGATGCACAACGGCTGGTTCCCCAGCTTCCTACTGAAGAGTTGCGTCCAGTTTGGTTTGGGCAGTTAGGAGCAGAGCTGCTGTAAACATTTGTGTACAGGCTTTTGTGTGAATATAGGTTTTAAATTCACTTGGGAAAATGTGTGAGGGTGGGATTGCTGGGCTGTCACAGTTAATTCACAGAGGGAAGGAGGAGGGTGAGCTCACACTTTGGCAGCATGGGGAGTGGCAGGAAGAGCACAGGAGGCTGGTCATGGGGCATGTGTCGCAAAGCTCCCTGGAACCTGGTTGACGGTGCCTCCTTGGGATAGCCCATGAATGTGTCAGCATCAGGCATCTTGGATGCAAAGCCCTTCCTTGGCTGAGGTGTGCCAGCCAGGTAAGCAATACCATCTGGGTCCCTCTCTGGACGGTGTCCCCTGCCTTCCTTCGGTATCAGGCTGGCCCCACCCCCCCCGGCACGCCAGCATTTGTCCAGGTGGGACACCCAGTCTGCTCACCTGGGAGGCTCACGGCCTGTCTCCTCTTGGTTTGGCAGTCAGGGCCGGGACCTGAAGCTGCGCCTATGGGACCTGGCAGAGGGCAGAAACGCCATCGTGGACTCTGTGCCCGTGGAGAGCATGGGCTTCTGCAGGAGCTCCGTCCTAGCCAGGGGTCCGGAGCGCTGGATGCTGGCCATGCCAGGGGGAGGTAGTGACGAGGTGAGTACCAGCCCACGTGGTGCCTGGCTCCACAAGCTACTTGCACTTGGTTCCCCTAAATGGGCGTGCTCATCCTAAGCACCTGTTACAGGAATGCTGTGCCCGCCACAGGAGCCCCACAGAGTGCCGGATTGCAACTCCAGTGGCCTCGGTCTGGCCACCTGTGGGGTGGCTGGTGGCGAGAGTCAGGAAGGCAGGCCCCAGCACCCAGTACTGCATGGCATGAGGAGTGCAGGGGGAGAGACTGCCTGGGGAGGTCCTCCGAGGACTTAGGAGCAGGTACGCATGGAGGGAAGTCCCGGGCAGGCCAGCAGGAGGTGGTGGGAGAGAAATCAAGGCCTTGGGGAAGTCTGGGGCAGCAGGGGCAGCCTTCTGGGGAGCTGAACTGGGTTCTGGCATGAGAGGCCTCAGTCAGACCTGGGGTGCTGGGGGTAAAGGCTGCCACCGGGGTAGTAAGCGCAGAACAGAGGGGGCATGTGAGCAGGGGAACTCAGAGAATGGGGCTCCAGGTGGGCGTGATGGAGCCTCGGAGGTGACCGTCAGATGGAGCTCAGGCCAGAGTGGCCAGCAGTGGTTGGTGACGGGGATCTGGTCAGGCTGGACAGCGTGTCCACACCCGCAGAGGCAGAAGAGGCAGAGTCCACCAAGGGAAGCAGTGCCCAGGACATGGGAACAGGTGGTGGGGAAGCAAGGGTGGAGAGTAAGGTAGAGGGTGACAGTGTGGCAGGAGGGGCCAGCGCTTGGGGAGCTGAAGGGAAATTAAAGAAGAAACCCAGGAGCAGCGATTGGACAGGCCTGGTGAGTGTGGGGGCATAGCTGCTCAGGGTCTGGGCCGAGGGGGGGTGGTGGACAGGGGCTCTGAGCATGGGGCAGGGAGGGCTGGGGGCACACACATGCAGGGAGAGCGAGCCTCCTGTCTGCCACCCTCGCGCATGGCTCCCCGTGTTCCCTGCCGGCCCCAAGAGGCTGCACAGCAGGCGGCGCTGGGCAAGGACATGGGGCCCCGTGTGCACAGCAAGGTTTGGCCCCTACCCAAGAAGACTCGTTTGTCTTAAAGCAGATTCAGTTCATAAATAATGAGAGAGGAACAGGCATTTATTTGTTCATGATTGCGTTTAAATCACCAATTAGGAGCTACATACGCTTTTCTTGCCAATTTGCCAAAAACCTGTTAGAAGTTTTATTAATGTGAAAAGAGAGGGGTGTGCTTCCTCCTGGACAGCCGGGGCCAGGCAGCGCCAAGCCTTGCTCCTGTGCTGCAAGCCATGGAGCCCAGCCCTCCCTCCGGGGCGGGGGGTGCCATGTGCGGCCCTCCCCTTCCTAGCCACTCCAGGCCTTCCTGGCTTCCCTGGGGCCTGGCTTCCCTGGGGCCTGGCCCCAGACACCCCGCATGTGCTGCTCAAGGTGTTCCGAGCCGACTTGCTGGCTCCCTATCCGCCAGTGCAGGCAACGTCTGTGTTTTTCAGGAGCAGCCAGTCGAAGGACCTGGGATATCCTGGGAAAATGGTGGTTTTCCATGTTCCCACCTGGAATCTGCCTGGACTGAATCTGCTTAGAAAAGCATCGCTGGCCTGTGCCCAGACAATGCCTGGGGAGGACACGCTCCCACCCCGCTCGACCATCTGGGTGGCCACACTTGCCCAAACCAAACATTTTACCTTCAGGAAACAGAGGTTGCAATTGAGTGCCAGATGGAAAGCACACTGGTGTCTGTAGGATGCTCCGAGCACAGGCGTCCAGGGCCTTGCCAGAGCCCAGAGCTCTTCCTTGGACCCACAGCGGCTCCTGGGCTTGCCCTGGTCCTCGGGCCCTGGGTTGCCCACTCTCCTGCACCCAGGATGTGGCTGTGGGTGCCACCACTCACGCTTCCTCCCACAGTGTCTTGCTCAGGCTTCAGGGCTGTCCTGGTCTTCCCCTTCTCCTTCCCAAGCTGCCTTGCAGGGTGACTCACCCCTACCTGATCACCTTGCCTTCACGCCCCTCCTCACTCACACCACCAGAGGGATCTTCCTGGGCCCACAGATTGGGAGAGGCCATCCCTCACTGTACCTGTGCGCCCTTGTGCCAGGCCATCCAGGGTGTGGGCCTGTGCACACTGTGTCCAGTGACATCTGTTTCTTCTGCTATCCCTCTCCCCACCAGCACATGCAAGCAGTCAGGGTGGCTTCTCCCCCCAGCTCCCCAACCACCCAGGCAACATCTTTTTTTTTTATATCTTAAATTTTTATATTAATTTTTTTTTAATTTTTTAGTGGGGGAGGGGCAGAAGGAGAGAGAATATTTTTATTTTTGAATTTAATTTTTTAAAAAGATTTTATTTATTTATTAGAGAGAGAGAGAGCACAAGTTGTGGGCAGAGGCAGAGGCCGAGGGAGAAGCAGACACCCCACTGAGCAGGGAGCCCCATGTGGGGCTCGATCCCAGGACCCCGAGATCATGACCCGAGCTGAAGGCAGATGCCTTACGACTGAGCCACCCAGATGCTCCTGTTTAAAAAAAATTTTTTTTAGGGCGCCTGGGTGGCTCAGTTGGTTAAACGACTGCCTTCGGCTCAGGTCATGATCCTGGAGTCCTGGGATCGAGTCCCGCATCAGGCTCCCTGCTCAGCGGGGAGGCTGCTTCTCCCTCTGACCCTCTTCCCTCTCGTGCTATCTCTCATTCTCTCTCTCTCAAATAAATAAATAAAAGCTTAAAAAAATTTTAAAGATTTTATTTATTCATTTGACAGAACGAGAGCACAAGCAAGGGGAGCAGAGGCAGAGGGAGAAGCAGGCTGCCCGCTGAGCCTGATGTAGGACTCGATCTCAGGACCCTGGGATCATGACCTGAGCCAAAAGCAAATGCTTAACTGCTCCGAGAGAATCTTAAGCAGGCCCCACGCTCAGCAGGGAGCCTGCTTCTCCCTCTCCCTCTGCCTTCACACAGATGGCAGCTCTGCAGCTTTGCACTTGCCTGGGCTGGGTGCCGAGGTGTCCCGACCGAGAGGAGCGTCTCTTTCTCTGTTCTGTGGGGCGTCTGGGGTGAGCGTGCCCTGACCAGGGCTCATGGGCTTCCCATAGTGTCTACAGCCGATTGTCAAGCAATAAGCCTGAAACTGAGTCACTGTGCCAAGGACACAAGGGCTCCGAAAGCCCCCTCCTCATCTCCTTGGTTTTCTGCTTACTTCTGGGCCATACTTAGGTACCACTGTGTCTTGGTTGTCATGTGACTTTTCTTGCATTTCTTTTTATTTTGCTAGAGCTTCTTGAGCATCTTTGCTGTTCCAGGGGCTGCTGCTTCTAGCAGCCTCTTATTTCATGACAGTAATAACCACTCACGTCACTGAGGGTCTTTTCTGTCTCCTTTGTGAGCAGGGAGGGCTGCCGTGGCTGGCATGGACACTGATCCTGCAGGCCCAGCAGACAGTCGGGGGGCCTGTCTGCATGTGCGTACATATGTGCGTGCTTGTTGGTGGGGACGTGTACGTACTCTGCAATGCTGAGCCCCTCCCCTAGGATACTGTGTGGGCCTCTGGTGAGAGCCCTGTCCAGAAGGCCCCCCCAGCCTCAGCCTGTGGGGGTGCCACCCCCAAGCAGGCCCACAGCTGAGAGGACCAGGCCGTGACACTGGCTTTCTACCCTGCCTGCTGTGTGCCCTCAGACAGACCCAGCGTGCAGGTAGCAGATCTGGGACTCCCACTCAGGACTTAATCTCAGGCCTTGGGCCAGTTCTCCCACGTGGGGTAGTTAAGAGCAGCCCAGCTCAGACCCACATGCCTTCAGTTCACTGGGCGGCAGACAGCACCTATCCCCTCTGCACCTCAGACTTCATCTGCAAACCGGAGGATGTCCTCTTGTTGGCCAGGGATGATGTGTGGCTCCACAATGGCTGCACATTGTTGTGACATTATCAGTACAGCCCCTCTCGCCTGTATCAAGGGGAGCCAAGGGCTTGTTGAGCCTCCCCATCATGGAGCAGTAGAGCTGCTTCACACGGAATCCCCTCCACCTCCAAGCACCACAGGAGGGGGCGCCCTTGTCCCTGCTTGGTGGATGAGGGAGATGAGGCAGTAGGGATGCAGATGGCTGGGGGCCCATTTCTGGTCTGCAATGCTCTAGTGCCCAAGCCTGCTCCTTGTGGCTGCAGCTGTCCCCTGTAGATGGTGTGGGGCAGAGCTGGGCCCAGCTCGGGTAGACAGGCCTGAGTGTGACCTGGCTGTGTGGACCAGAAAGACACATCTTCCAGCCCGGGCACAGGAGGGCCTGCACCTGCATTTTCAGGTGATGCAGAACACAGCTGTGATGCCCAGTAGAGAGGTGCGGGGTGCTGGGACCAGTCAGGCCCCAAACAGAGTTCCGCTTGGTGCACACCATGTTCATTTCCTAGGCTTGCTGGTGGTCCCCAGGGGTTCCCTGTGCACTTTTTTTTTTTTTTTTAAAGATTATTTATTTGTTTGTCAGAGAGAGCACAGGCAGAGGGAGAGGGAGAAGCAGGCGCTCCTCTGGGCAAGGAGCGCGACGCGGGGCTCCATCCCAGGACCCTGGGATCATGACCTGAGCCGAAGGCAGATGCTTAATCGATGGAGCCTCGCAGGGCCCCCCCCCCCGCCCCGTCCCGTGCACTTCTGTAAACCATTTGATGCACCTGAGATAGTTCAGAGTTGTTCACGTGAAAGCCCACATCAGGAGAGAGGGGGCAGAGATCAGGAGGATGGGCAAACTGAGTCTGTGCCAAGCCAACCTCCTGCTCAGTGAAGAGGTAAAATTGGGAGGGGCCGGAGGCAGCTGCCAGCCAGGTGGTGATGCTGGTTAGAGGGACATGCCGGTCACTTAGAAATGACGTGTGAGTTTCACAATGCCCAGCAGTGCCTGAGCCCACGAGCCTGTGCGGCCTAATTAGGAGGCTCAGCTCCCAGGTTCCTCCGGGGAGCAGACAGAAACTCGCAGCAGCCTTGGCTAATCGCCTTAAAAGTCTCTTGTTTGTATAGCACAGGCTCGACTTGGCGCCGGCCCAAATCAACTTGTTTTCTTACTGTCAGGTTCAGATTCTGGAGATGCCATCCAAGACGTCAGTGTGCACCCTGAAGCCGGAGGCAGATGCCAAGCCGGGCATGCCCATGTGCCTGGAGCTGTGGCAGGTAAGGCCCAGCGCACGCCAACCACGCCCTGCCAGCCACGCCTTCTGGGCCGTGAATCATGCCCCATTCAGGATTTGGTTTTTCATCAAACCAAAGGACAATTAGCCCCCTGGGAGTGCATGTGCACGCTGCCTTCCACAGCCTCGGTGTCCCCACCGGCTCCTGCTGCCGCTCTACAAACTGCCTGGGGCAGGTCTGGCTTATGCTGTCCCCCGCACGGTACCCTCCTGCCCGTGCAGTGAGGAGGGACAGCTGGGTCAGCGGAGGGCTGCGAACTCCTTTCCCTCTCTGCACACCGGCGTGCGGCCCTGCACAGGGCTAGGAGGGAAATGCTGACTAACCCTGCAAGCCAGCCCGGCCCCTGCTTTGCTTGGATTACTTTCTGTTACTTCTTTGCCTCAGAGGCAGGAGTGGGCTTAACACTGACTTTCCCTACGGCCACACTTGGCGTTTCTTTTTTTTTTTTTTTTTTTAAGATTTTATTTATTTATTTGACAGCGAGAGACACAGCGAGAGAGGGAACACAAGCAGGGGGACTGGAAGAAGGAGAAGCAGACCTTCTGCAGAGCAGGGAGCCTGATGCAGGGCTTGATCCCAGGACCCCGGGATCATGACCTGAGCCGAAGGCAGATGCTTAACGACTGAGCCACCCAGGCGCCCCTGGCATTTCTGATTCATAGCCATTTCCTTCTTTCTTTCTACTCTTTCTGATTAGAGAGGGTCAGAAGGCATCTCCTGGGGCTGGCAGCTGAAACCTGGGACCAGGAAGTGGGCCACACGCCTGAGTCCTGGCAGGATGGGGTTCAGCTCCAAGGCCAAGCGTGAGGCCTTAGGAGGGATCCTCCTGGGCCCACCCACTTGCCTCTACTAGAAGCCCGGTCCCTCCTCAAGGCACAGCCTCCTCCTGGCCACAGGGGACAGCACTGGCTCAAAGTGTACGCTTCTGCTTCTCAGGGCTGCTGGTGTTTGGGGCAACAAAGCAAATGGTCTGGTGTGTTCACTTGGAAAGAACTGTAGGCAGCATCTTTGCCGTGGCGGAGACCGTGGTGGACAGGTCGTTGACCAGTGCCTGCCCTGGGGAGCGCTGCTTATAGGCCGTTTTCCCAGCTCTGTTCAGTTCACCAGCACCTTCTGGCAGCTACCCTGAGCCTGCCTGAGATCGGGAAGAGGTGATTCCTGCCTCGTGCCACACTGCTTGTTTGAACTTTTCACAAGATGGGCTTGGGCGCTTTAGAGATGTCTGTGGGGCCAACAGGCACCCCCAGAGACCTTGCCCCACGCTTTTTGTCCCTCCAGGGACCTGAGCCTTCTTGCCATTGGTTTCCCCCTATGCAATTTCTTAACTGAGAACATTCCAATTGGAATTTGTTTCCAGTTGGAAATCTCTGATAAGCTGATTCTGTGGTGTCCTGTTGCTGCCCACAGCGAGCTGAGTGGGTGGGGCCTCTAAGAGAGCCTCTAAGAGAGCCGCCTGAATGGCAGTGCTCCGGGCACCTGCAGGTCTGTGGCGGGGAACAGCCCGAGGCTGGGATGCCTGGGGCTGAGGCGTGGCGCTCACACTCCCTGGCAGGGCATCGTGGCTGCATCCGCTCCCACTCTGCTCCCTGGAAACATTGTCGTTGCGTAATCATGTAAAAATTCCAGCAGAAAAATGTGTAGAAATGGGATGTACAAACTTGTTAAGGTAATTAATATAGTTGACAGAAGGACAAATCGAGTTTTTGTTAGTTGATACAGATCCAACGCAAAGCCTTCTGTTAAAAAAGAGTTGACATTAATTTGAAATGTCCTTTTTTTCTCTCCAAACCTGAAGGTCCAGGTTGTAGTTTATTAATATGAGTGTGGCAGAGGGGCCTGACATGGTTTTTCTCACTGAAACATTCAGATGTATTCTTCTTTTTTCATATTTTTTTAGATTTTATTTATTTGAGAGAGGGGGAGAACACAAACAGGGGGAGGGGCAGAGGGAGAAGGAGAAGCAGAGTCCCCGCTGAGCAGGGAGCCTGACGATGTGGGGCTCAATCTCGGGACTCTGGGATCATGACCTAAGCCAAAGGCAGACGCTTAACTGCCTGAGCCAACCAGGTGCCCCATATTCTTTTTTTTTTTTTTTTTTTTTTAGATTTTTAAAAACACTCAGAGAGAGCTTGCACACACAAGTGGTGGGGAGGGGCAGAGGGAGGAGAGGAGAAAGTAGACTCCCTGCTGAGCGCCACACCAAGGGGATCCACCTCAGGACTTGAGGATGAAGACCTGAGCTGAAGGCAGGCAGACTGAGACACCCAAGCACCCCATATTCTTGTTTTGCTCTTCAAAGTGGCTGACTTGCATTGTTAGGATGATTATCACATAAAAGGTCAGGAATATCGATCACAGCAGCCCTGAGAACAGGCTTTCAGACCCTGGGCCTAGGGTCCCCTCTAGTGAGCTGGGAGCTCCCACCACAGGACTGGTCCCAGGAGGTTCTGTAGGCGGGGCCTGCCTGCTGGAGTCCCTCCCAGTCAGCATGCCCAGAGACAGAAGACACAAAGCGAGTCCTTGTGGCAACTTCAGGTCCTGACCCCATGGAGATCAGCCTGTCACCAAAGGCCTGAGACCATGAGACCACCGTTCTGCCTGTGCCGCCTGTCACTGGGGGCCACAGGGGCCCGGCAGCACAGCTGGGGAGCAGCAACCATCAGGGCTGCAGCTCAGCACTTGGTCACCCTTGGCAACAATGAGGTGGGCCCCTGCAGGTCAGTCTGGCTCCTGATCTGGCCACCCTGTGGCACTTTGATAGGTGGCTGAGTAGCACGCAGCCTCTGAACGAGCCGAGATGCTCAGAACCCAGAGACCACAGGCATGATGCAGACTTGGGCTATAGAGACAGACCAAAACCAATGTGTTGGCACTGGGAGGAGCCCCAGATGTGGGAGGAATGTGCCCAGGGGATTGGAGAGGAGCAGGGCCCTGGGGGCAGGGGGTCCGGAAGAGGCTGGGCAGAGGCAGGGTGGATGGGAAGCAGGTGACAAGACCGATCACTGCCCTGAAGGGAAGAGACCCAAGTGGGCCCCAGGTGAGTTCCTCAGAGCTGACCTCTAAGGTGGGGCCCAGCAGGTCTGGCCTCGGGGTTTGGCCTGGTCAGCCAACAAACAGAGCATTGGGCTGTTCTCACCTGGCTCTCGCCCTCTCAGCAGGGTCCAGATATGGCTGGCTGCTCAAGGGGGGAGGCCCCTTCTGGAGAAGCACAGCTGCCTGAAAGGAGGTACCCGAGCAGAGGGCCTGACCACTTCTTAAAGCAGTCTGTACATGTCTGGAGAAAAGCCGTATAAATAATTTTATACCACACAAATAGTTTCCAATCGGGTGACTTGAAAGATACCAAAATGGAGCTCTTCCCCGTTACAAAACTACAGAGAAAGCGTACCAACACTGATGGCCTCGCACGGGAGACCAGACGGAGGCAGTGACCACGCTCAGCTGCTCGCAGCCTTGGCCCTTCCATGGCAGGCATCAGCAGGCACTGTGCGCACACAGGGTTCATGGTCACAGGGCCCATATCCTGACTGCTTGCCCAGTCGGGCCCATGGAAGTCGGGGGGCGTGGGGGGGGGAAGGGGGGCGGCGCAATCAGCCTGCAAGAGGCCCCAGGGAGGGAGGGGCACAGGCTGCCAGAGGCTAAGTGAAGCTAAGGAGCCTTTCTTTGTATGAACATCTATTACCATCAGAAAAGGTGTAGAGGCCATTTCCGGGGATGTGCAGGAGACGACCTCGAGGCTAGCTCTGGCCTGGGAGGATTCCCTGGGCTGTGGGCAGGCCTTGGTGACTGTGTCCTCCCCATCTTCTGGCCTGCCATCTCCTTCTGATCAAAGAGCTGGTCTGCATCAGGCTCCCCCTGGCTCCCTTCACTAACCAGGGCCCTGGTGACATACACCACACCCTAAAGCCTCAGTTTCCCCTTCTGATGCACAGAGAGAGCCCCGCTTCCGTGTGTGGAAGATGTGGTATCCACTCATTAGATACATGACCTGGTGCTTTCTGGCTAAACCTGGTCACCTTGCTTAGCTGAGCAAAAGTTCTTTCTGGGCGCTCTTGAATATTGTGGAGAGGCATCTGGGCCTTGAGCCCCTCTGGGCAGATGGAAGCACCCACACAGCTCATAACAGGAGCTCCAGCAGGTGGGCGAGGAGGGCCTCCATGGTGCTGTCTGTCCCTGTCAGCCCACGACCAGTGAGGCCCAGGCACCCTGCTCAGTGCCAGCCTTGCTGCCAGCAGGGGACTGTTCTGGGAGTTACCGGTGACCCAGGAGGCAGCCTCGCTGACCAGCCTCCCCCTCCCCACCCCACCCCCTACCGCCAGGATCCCATTCTTACCATTGACCATCCAGAGGCTGGGGGCCAGGCCCAGAGTTCCCCGGGGCTCAGCTGAGCTCCTGGCTCTTGGAAAATTCACTGGGGAGGGGATGTGCTCAGTTATTTCTGACACTTGAGTGATGCCAACCCCAGGCAGCTCAGCAGGAAATGCAGAGGCGAGAGAAGAGCAAAAGGCATAGGCTGGCTTGTGCTTTGCCCCAGAAGCAACCAGGATCCCTGTCTTGGAGCCTGGGCACCAAGCACGGGGCTGCCGCTCTCAGTGCCGGGGTGACACGGAATCCCGCGGTGCTCCCCTGGAGTGGTTGCCGAGGCTAGATAAACGAGGCGTCTGTCCCGGGTGCGGAGCCCTCTGACCCGCATCCTCATTCATCACAATAACTCAGGGCCGGCAGAGCTCGGCTCACACCAGTCAGCGCCCTGGCGACTCACCAGGCCTGGGGGGGTGGGGGGCTTCCGCGGCGACGTTGACAAAGCACAGAAAGTTCATTTTTCATGGAGATGGAGCTCGCGATTTCCTTTGGCTGGCAGTTCTAGACAGGTGACCGGCCTCACGAAGGGGTGGCCGCAAGTCTCAGCCTGCAGAAAGGAGGCAGGAAGCAGCAGCAGCACCCGGCCGGGCTGGTGAGCAGCGGCATGGCAGTGTGAGGCGGGGGGCCGCGCAGGCTGACCTCGGGCTCCGTGGCCTCCAGTCTCAGTCCTCGGAGCGCCCCAGCACTGGCCCATGCCAGCCCGGTGCCACTGGTGTCCACTGTCGGGGGGCATGCAGAGCCTCTGAATTGTTAACTGCCGTGCAGGGAGCACGGCGAATAGCTCCCTGGCTGGGCCACCCCCAAGGCCCGGTGGGAGAGGCCGCCCCTCTCTGGAGCCCCTTCTTCCCCCAAAACCTACCAGGAGCCTTCGGGAGCTGACTGCTGTGCTGTCCCCGCAGGCCGACTCCAGTCCCCGCCCACTCCTCCTGGCTGGCTATGAGGACGGATCGGTGGCCCTGTGGGACGTCTCTGAGCGGAAGGTGTGCAGCCGCGTCGCCTGCCACCCGGAGCCCGTCATGGGCTTTGACTTTGACTCCCAGAAGGCCAGGGGCGTCTCGGGCTCCGCGGAGAAGGCGCTGGCTGTCTGGAGCCTGGATGAGCAGCAGGCCCTGCAGGTCAGTGCGCCAGACCCGAGGTGTCATTTATCCTGCTTTGCACTAACAGTCTGATAGGCTGAAACAATATTTAGGCATGAAGAGGAGTTGTTGCAGATCCCTGGCTAATTAATCACTGCAAGGCGGGGTGCAGGCCAGCCTGTCCGCGGGGCCGGTGCAGGAAGAAGGGGGCGTGGGCGTTTGTGAACCGTTCACATGGTTTGGGTTTCTCTCAGACCTCGGGTTAACAGCAGTCACGTCTTGTCCATCTAGAGAAAAGGCATGTAGAGTCCAGGAGTAGGCAAGTCCATTTGCAAAAACTCAGAGGAATTCGGTCAGTAAGGAACTGATTAATCAACAAAAACCAACCCAGTGTGGAGAAATCCACGGAGTCACGCCCCCAGGGCAGTCTGCAGGCCAACCCCAGGAAAGTGGTTCCTCTCTGCTCACCACAGTAGGGAAGGGGTGTGAGGCCTCTGGCTGGAGCGGGGTGTTGCTGGAAACCTTCCCATGAGGTCTCAGTGGACTTTCCCTTCCCACATGGCTCGTGGAGCACTTGGGGCCAGGTCTGGGCCTGTGGCTGGTGCTCAGCATGCAGTGGCCCAGCCTGTACCCTCGGCCCTGTTTTGAACTTGGGGAGTAAAGTTGCGGGGGGGAGCCTCCTGTCCAGGCCTCACACTAGGGCAGGTCCCTGGGGGGCTGCAGGTCACAGGGGATGAGACAGACGTGTGATGCCTCTTGGCCCCCAGAGGGTGGCCTGGGTGCACTCTGGTGTCTTGGGGTGGCCGAGGAGTCCCTATTAGCCAGGAAGCCTTGGGAGGCTGAGACTTGGCCACTTGACTAGCGAGTGGAAGTTGCATGGGAGGGCAGTGCTGTAAACCTGGGTCTGGTGGGGGAACAGGGCCCCGGTTGGGAAATGTGTGGCCCTCAGGGAGACTGCCAGCAGAAGCAGCAGAGGCTTGGCACTTGGCCTCACCTGGAGTGCTGGAGGGCAGGAGTGCCCTTCTCTGCAGGAGTTGCGGTGGAGAAGGCATCTCCCCACGCCGGGTGGTAAAGCCTTGCCTACTAGCCTGGCAAGCCTGCCTCACCCCACATTTGCCCAGCCTGGACCCTCACAGCCAGAGGAAGAAGCCCTGGGCAGGCACCACCAAGCCCCTGAGGCATATGGGTTGGAGAGGGGAAGGGCGGGCCCCTGGGGAAAATCAGGGCATGCTGTGGTGCCTAGCAGGCATCACACATCCTGGGTGCCACCCCGGGGTGGGGCCTCACCACCCGGTCATCCCGAAAGAGGGACAGAGTGAGGACAGCTGGGGCAGGGGTCTCACGTGGCGGGTGAGGAGTCCTGGGGAAGACGGAGGCTGAGAAGGAGCCAGGCGGCAGGGTGCTGGAGGGAATGGTGACGGACTTGGAGGCCCAGAGACGGACACAGCTCAGGCGGAGGGAGACCTGGGAGGGGGCCCTTTCATGTTGAAGCTGGAGTTGGGACTGGCATCCTAAAAAGAAGGATCCTGTCTGAGAACAAAGGTGAAAGCCAGAGCAAGTGGCCAGCGTCAGCAGGGCAGAACTGCCTACTGTCCTGGTGTGAGGCTGCCAGGTGTCTCTCCAGGTGGGATCTGAGCAGGAACCTGAGGGTGGGGAGCAGCCGGCCAGAGCCCAGCAAGAGAGGGAAAGTGGATCACAGGTGACATTTGGGGATAGGGTACACATTTATGCTTCCTTAGCATTGCTCCTCCCCAGCAGATCAGCTTGTGCCAGTACATGGCTGACTACAGTAAAGCCAACTACCCATCTGTCCTTCTGTCCTTCTTTTGTCTTAGAGAGCCCATGGAGGCCCCAGGGGAAGGGGGGTTAGCCAGGCTTCCAAATGAGGCCAGGCCTGGCTGTGGCGGAGCAGAGCTTCTCATGCCTCTGTCCCAGCGGAAGGGTCTCAAGGCCTTGGAATGGTAGACCTGAGTGGGGATGGGAGTGAATGTCGTCATGATGGCTGTCATCTTTAAGACTGGGGCAGAGCCAGTCTGGTAATGGGTCTTCATGTCCTCACCAGAGGAGGGCACCTCACTGGTGTCAAGCCCAGCCAGGTAGGCCTTGGAGGCTCTTGCACCCCTCCTTCCTGCTCCTCGAGTCTGGTGGGGACCAGGCAGGGCCTCCACCTTCCCACTGTGGGGTCCAGTGCTCCATCCTGCCATGGCTTGAATTTCATCAGCCTGACCTTGCAAAAGGCTGAAGACTCGGGTGGCTTCCCTGAGAACCCCACCCTGGACTGCAGTACCCCCAGGGGTACCGGGCGCTCTTGAATATTGTGGAGAGGACCCTGGAAGGGTCCCCTCCTGCTGACCTGGCCCAGATCTGCCTGCTCTCTGCTGGCTTGTTCGGGAAACAGCTGCTGGAACTTAAGACTTAAATTTATGGGGCATTTTCCAGTCCAGAGATGAACTTTTACTGTACTGATGAACTGAAAAGTTAAAGCACAGAGGATTATTAATGAATTTGAAAGTTAAAGCAGAAGGGGAGCCAGGCATTGTGGAGTGGACGTGGTGGTTACGTGATGGTGTTATGCCGGGCTTGGGGCCCCACTCAGCAGTGCACATCAAAGCAGGAGGACAGTGTTCCTCCCGCTGAGTGCGGCCACTGAGAACGGCTGCATGTCAGGTTCAGAGTTGGCCCCAGAGGCCCTGGAGATTTTCAGGTTGTGACGCGCAAGGCCTCTGAGAAGGAAGTATCAGGGGCCGGCGCCCACTGGCATCCACAGGCATCCTCGCCCTGAGGCCCCCGGTGCACCACACTGGCCCTCCGACGTGGCCGCCCGCCCTGGCCCTCGAGCCACGTGGGCACAGATGTGCCTCACCTCGCAGCCTGCTGCTGGAGTCTCTAATGAGCCCAAATCAATCTCTCCCGGGCGGGCGCTGGGAGCAGAGACGCAGATGAGGTTTCCCGCAGCAGAGCGTGGGTAATGGGAACCAGATGGCGGCCGCGCCGCGTGCACATTCCTGGCACCTGAGGTCATGTGCTGTGAGAGCCACTAGTGGCCAGGGATCCCTCCCAGAGGGTCCTTATCCAGGATGGGTGCGGCCAGGGGCCATGGCAGTGACTGGGAGCCTGCGGCCCCCCTCCTCAGAACACCGTGGCCTCGGGGGCACATGGCAATGCTGGGCCACTCACTTGCCTTCCAGAGGTGGCTTTCCCTCCAGCCTCCAGGGGATTGGGCCTTGGCTGTCGTCAGACACAGGTGGTGTGCAGACCTGCTCCTTCCTCCCACACTTGGGCAGGGCCCATGGCCTTGAAGCAGGGCCTGATTTACGGCCAGCAGTATTTTTAGGCCTTTAAGTAATATTGAGGCCCCCCACCCCAGCCAGCCTGGGCTGGGAGTCGGACCAACCACGCTTCCCTGAGTTGCGCCCACGGCTGGTTGGCCAGGCGTCCCCTTGTCTCGCTGTGTGTCTGCTGCCCTCTTTCTCCCAGGCCCCACCCTCTAAAGGGTCAGTAGCAGGACCTGTGGACAGGTAGGAAAGAGACTACAGGGCCCCGAGACCAAGCAAATTGTGGACACAGCTCAACCCCCCGTATGCGTCTCAGGAACACAGCAGAACAAGCAAGGCTCTGGGCCACTGTGACCATGAACAGATGCTGTAGTCCCTCCTCCTCCTTGGGAATACAAGCCTAGGACAGGGACAGGCCTCTTTGGGTTTAGGTCCCCATCAAAGCTTCTGTTGCTGCTTCTCTTCATTCCGGCCAGCGGAGCCTGCTTCGTGCCTTTGCTTCGGGACCAGAGTCACTCCTGCCCCTGTGGGCAGCAATGGGCATCTTAGCCCCTCCCAGGGGGTGACACTGGTGTGGAAGGCGTTCTGTGCCCTGGACTCACTTCCAGTATGTGAGGACCATGGTTCAGGGGCCACTATGGAAATTCACATTCCTCTTCCACTTGCCTTGGGTTCTCGGTGATCATCAGCAGAGAGCAGACTGGAAAGCAGCCCTTTTCTCCCTGTTAACAAATCCACATAAAGATGGAACATGAAGGAGGTGACCCTGAAGCAGGGCCCCACATGGGTTCCAGGGAATCCATGGCTCCGAGCCCAGGGGTCCCCTGGTGACCCCTGGGCTTGGGGCAAAGTCCACAGAAGAGAAAAGGAGGGACGGTGATGGTCATCAGTCCTCATTCCCAGCCCCCCTGATCTGGTCCATGAGAATGGAGAGGGGTTCAGGCAGGTGCACACCCTTACATGAGAGCACATGCACAGTGGCCTCGCCTCCCACACTCCTTCTCCAGCGTGTGCCACTTGGTGGCCTGAGCATCATGGTCCACCAATTGGTAGAGCCAGGCACTGGCCAGAGCCCTGGAAGAGTAGGAGGGGGTCCCTGACCATGAGATGCGGGGTGGGTGTGGAGGTGCCTGGGTGGGTCGCTGCGGGGCTGCCCAAGTGCTGATTGCACTGGCCAGGAACCCAGGCCATGCCTCACGGAGGCAGGGGCTGTAGCGGGCCTCCTGCACATGCTACAGGTTGGACACCGTGCAAGTTTGCTGCCAGGTTTTGGTCTCATCATATTTTGCTGTCTCATCATATTAGATCCTCCTTCTACTCCTAGTGGGGAAAGAATCTGGATCATGAATAGGCGTTGAACTGTCAGACTCATGGCTTTCATTCTCAAATCAGTTAATTTAATGAACTGCATTTTTTGGTTTTTATGATATCAAACAACCATGTAGTCTTTTTTTTTTTTTTAAGATTTTTTTTATTTATTTGAGAGGGGGAATGAGATAGAGAGAGAGCATGAGAGGGGAAAGGGTCAGAGGGAGAAGCAGACTTCCTGCCGAGCAGGGAGCCCGATGTGGGACTCGATCCCGGGACTCCAGGATCATGACCTGAGCCAAAGGCAGTCGCTTAACCAACTGAGCCACCCAGGTGCCCCAAACAACCATGTAGTCTTAAAATAAGCTGTCACAGAGCTTGTCCATTTCCGTGTGGTGGGGCTCAGTCGGAGTCGTTCAGAGCCATTGGTCTGTCTCTCAATAAACTAAGCTGCAC